CTTTTTGCTTCTAGAATTGCAAAACCAACAAAAGAAACAAAATGATAGCATAAAATATTTTCTTTCTGTAATAAGATTTAAAATGAACAGAAAAAAACACCGCTAAAAACTAGAAATAAATAAAGCATTTAGAATCCTGCCTGGAGACACAAGCTTTTTGTTTTGTTTTTTGAATTTCGCGCAAAGCTACACGAGGGCTATCTGCGCTAGCCGTCCCTAATTTAGCAGTGTAAGACTAGAGGGAAGGCAGCTAGTCATCACCACCCACCGCCAAGTCTTGGGCTACTCTTTTACCAACAAATAGTGGAATTGACCGTCACATTATAACGCCCCCACGGCTGAAAGGGCGAGCATGTTTGGTGTGACGGGGATTCGAACCCGCGCCCTAACCACCTGGCCATGCCGGGTCCCCAAAATTAACAACACGAACAGTTGACACGACCTTTCCACATCACGTTCCGAAGAATTTCGTTTAAGTTGGAGTGACGTTGGTAAACAGAGGATAACAGAAATAAGGAGTCATTTTTTTAAAGTTTATTTTAAAACAGGTATTTATTTACTATCCACATTCCTTTGTACAATCATAAACTCCAGAATGTCAATATATCATGTCGTGAAATAACATTTTCTTATATATACGTACAAGCTGACGACACGATGTTACAAGTCTACTTACAATTTCTAGGACTGTACAGGAAATGATTTTTGTTTCTTATTCTTGAAATATTTGTCATTTACAGTTCAAGCTCGAATGACAGAAAGCACCTGAATGGTTAATAATAAGTTACTACCTAGTGACCAATGAGGTCACTCATTCTGATCTTAGAGACTGGACCTTTGAAAATGATAAAGACCTGTGCCGTTAGGTCAACACCTAGCTTCGCTTGGCCAGTTGGACTTTTTAAAATGATAAAGACCTGTGCCGTTAGGTCAACTCCTAGCTTCGCTTGATCCAGTTTTAATTAAAATCTTCTTGTATGAAACCAGTTTTAATAACCATAATTATGTTACATATTAGTCTGAACCATCGTCTAGGAAACTTTATTCCCCAAACCTTCTAAATTATGTTTACAACTGGCGTGGTCTTTTTAAAGTTTCATTACATGTAATCAAATGGTAACTTTTTGTTTCTTTTAGTTGCGATCCTCCCAATAGCTCAGCAGCTAGTATGAAGGCTTCACAAATAGCCCATTGTTTAGCTTTAAGCTTAACAGATAGCCATTGTGTGGATTTACGCTTCAAATATAGCCCACTGTGTAGCTTTAGGCTTCACAGGTAGCCCATTGTGTAGCTTTAGGCTCACAGCTAGCCCATTGTGTAACTTTAGACTCACAGCTAGCCCATTGTATAGCTTTAAGCTTAACAGATAGCCATTGTGTAGCTTTACGCTTCAAATATAGCCCACTGTGTAGCTTTAAGCCTAACAGATAGCCATTGTGTAGCTTTACGCTTCAAATATAGCCCACTGTGTAGCTTTAGGCTTCACAGCTAGCCCATTGTGTAACTTTAGACTCACAGCTAGCCCATTGTATAGCTTTAGGCTTTACAGGTAGCTCATTGTGTAGCTTTACGCTTCACAAATAGCCCACTGTGTAGCTTTAGGCTTCACAGCTAGCCCATTGTGTAGCTTTAGGCTCACAGCTAGCCCATTGTGTAACTTTAGGCTCACAGCTAGCCCATTGTGTAACTTTAGGCTTCACAGGTAGCTCATTGTGTAGCTTTAGGCTTCACAGCTAATCCATTGTATAGCTTTAGGCTTCACAGCTAGTCTATTGTATAGCTTTAGGCTTCACAGCTAGTCCATTGTATAGCTTTAGGCTTCACAGCTAGTCCATTGTATAGCTTTAGGCTTCACAGGTAGCTCATTGTGTAGCTTTAGGCTTCACAGCTAATCCATTGTATAGCTTTAGGCTTCACAGCTAGTCCATTGTATAGCTTTAGGCTCACAGCTAGCCCATTGTGTAGCTTTAGGCTTCCCAGGTAGCCCATTGTGTAGCTTTAGGCTCACAGCTAGCCCATTGTGTAACTTTAGACTCACAGCTAGCCCATTGTATAGCTTTAGGCTTTACAGGTAGTTCCTTGTGTAGCTTTAGGCTTCACAGCTAATCCATTGTATAGCTTTAGGCTTCACAGCTAGTCCATTGTATAGCTTTAGGCTCACAGCTAGTCCATTGTATAGCTTTAGGCTTCCCAGGTAGCCCATTGTGTAGCTTTAGGCTCACAGCTAGCCCATTGTGTAGCTTTAGGCTTCCCAGGTAGCTCATTGTATAGCTTTAGGCTTCACAGCTAGCCCATTGTATAGCTTTAGGCTTCACAGCTAGCCCATTGTATAGCTTTAGGCTTCACAGGTAGCTCATTGTGTAGATTTAC